ACACACACACACACACACACACACACACACACATACACACACATATACACATACAAACACACACATTGTCAAAAAAAACACACTGTGAACATAGCACAAATTTAAAAAGCAGTTCTCCCATAGAAAACACTCTTGCATGCCTGCATGCACACACACACAGGTACATACAAATACACATATTCATACAATCACATATACACATGCACATATGCACACATGCATGCATGCACATGCACACACAGACACACACACATACACAACCATACACATAGACAAACACACACACACCTTCACACACAAACAGACACCCACACACTATACAGAGATACACAAACACAAGGGTATACACACCCATACTCATACATAGATATATACATAAACGTGTGTGTGTGTGCGTTGTATGTGAGTGTGTGTGTGTGTGTGTGTGTGTGTGTGTGTGTGTGTGTGTGTGTGTGTGTGTGTGTGTGTGTGTGTGTGTGTGTTTGAACATGTGTGTATGTTTGGGGCTTTAAAAACAAAAAACTCTAATATTTCTGATTAAATAAAAAGGTAAAGAAAAGGCAAAAATGGAACAAAAACAGCATGCATCACATAAACCTGTAAATATATCACTTACAACAAATTTCCAGCCAAGAAAAATGAGCACAATAAAACCTAGGTCAATCACCTTCACATCCTGCTGCAGGAGCCAAGGAATATATTTACATTATTTTTATATATATGTATATTTTCAAAAATGTAAACAATAAGACCAAAGGGCAATACCCTGAGCTAGACAGAAAAACGTATCATTAAAACAAATTATAGTGAGCGACCTGAATGAATGAATCATTTAAGAGTTTTGTTGTTACAACTAAACACTTACACACAGGCAAATATTGTAACTGGGGAAATGCAATACATTAAAAATACATTAATTCACAAACACAGAATCTACAAATAAGGTCCTACTATCAAAAGCAACATTAGCAGATACATTTCACTTTATAAAAATTAATTCTAAATCAGATTGTCTAGTTGAACAGAGGAGACAATAAATTATTGACATGTCGACAGTAACAATCACAAACCATCTAATTCCCAAATTACTTTTTCAAGAAAAATAATGTATGATTCGAGTGTCAAGCATGCCAGAAAACAGATATACATTTGGCACCAATGTCATGTTTCAGATTTTTCGCTCCGTAAACTTGTACTATACCAGGACACCAACAAGGTTTCCAATCCATTATGTTTGGCAGGGAATAATAAGACTTGACGTAATTTCAGACCAACATGATTTTTTATTGTTACCACTGACATACAGAATACAAGAAAGAAAACTGTATTCAGTGGAACTCGGATTCAAGGACGTCGCCGGGCCTGACCTAAAATCTCGTTGAATCCAAGTGTTCGTTATAGCAAACATGAAGTTTTGTGACGAAAATTACAGGCACTGAGCAAGTAATGTATAAAGAGAAGTAACAAGTGGTGCCTGAAAAGGCTGCATGTTATGAGCTGTGCAAAAAAAAGACCAATTCATTCAAAAGCACACCTGTGTCATCTCGATTGTTTGTCAAAAAGTTGTGTTGCTGTGTAGTATATATAGATCCGGGTTCCACTGTACAGTATAATAGTGATCAAACATATAATATAATACATCACTTTTGCTTCTAATTTATTACCCTGTAGACAGATTACTCATCAAGAATCCTGCACTGATTGAGAAAAGAAAGCTGGTCAGTTCACACAATCATGTGTAAAAATGGACCGGCTTTGAGTCTGAACAGAAACGTTCAAAATTCCCTAAACTGAAAACAGTTTTATTTTTCTGTTTGTTTTAGGAGAGGTTTACGGCGCTCGCAACTGCATAAGGTCATATGAGCGCCAAGGGTTGGATGTCAACAGAGAAGTCTTTACAAGGAATCAGACTTACTCTGCTCACCTCTCTTGCTTCAACAGCACAAGGTCTGCTTCAACTATCAAGGCACCCCTGAAATAGCAGGTCACAAGAGTGTGACAAACATACAAAAGAAGTAGAGGAAAAATGATGATAGTAAGGATTAGGAAAGAAAAAGCAGCAGTTCCCTGTTGCAGTTCAGAAACAGTATGAGTATGACATTGTTGAAACAGCCCATTTACAATTCTACTGTGCATAAGAACAAGTTAATGTCCACCCTTTGGGAATGGCCTAAAGACACTTCAGTCAGTGGCACTGCCCCAGGGGGGTTGAAAATGTTTAATGTGTGTCCCATGCACTCATATGACCTTATGCAGGCGCGAGTGCCGTAAAACATATTACAAAAAAAACCCAACAACAACAGCAACAACAAAATTCTCTATCTTTTTATTTATTAAGGTGTTACGATGCTCCTAAAATGGCACATGACAAGCCAAACGTTTCTCACGTCACAGACAAGAGAATAACTAACACGATATACAGCATAGCCAAGTCACACAAAGGTAACAGAGGTACAAGTTTTATATCATGTGGAATGTTTTATCATAATATGTTATCTAGAAATCATTTTCAGCAGTCTTGTAAAACATGGAAAAGTAGTGGTCCACACACATGTTACAGTACAATAGTGTAAAGGTCTAGCCTTTCACACTTCCAGGGGAAAAGACTGCAAAAATACAAAGTCTGGCACAAGCAAATTCTGCCGTCTTGTTTTTTAAAAATCCAGTTCAGTATTTAAAGAAATAACTGAAGAGGAAAATGTTCCACTTTTATTCATTTCTGGTAATATGTTTATTTACCTTAATAACACAGAGTTTTTAAAAAAAGAAAGAAAATCACAGTAAACATTTTAGCACATTTTAGGATTGCTTTGGTTTTAAAAGACATTGTGGATTTCATTAGATAAAACAGATGTTAAAAAAGTCTTCTTCAAAAGAAAGCTCTTGTCATGACATGATTGATCAGATGAAAGTTACCCAAATTATCCTCATGTTGTGGAATATAATAATAATAGCGACAACATATCAGAAAAAGCAAAATTTGCATAATTGTTTCTGGTGTAACATCCTTTTCAACACTATAAGCTTTTTCTTAGAGGCAGGACTTCCGAATTTAATAACATCTATCTGAAATATAACAGTATTACAAAAGCCTTAACCCTATCCGTACTTCCTGGGGTCATTATGTACCTCCCGGGTTGTATTCTTCACATCTTAGAATACTTCTAGTATGAAGATCTCTTTGAAACTTTTAGTATAATTTCTCAAAAAATTCTTTTGACAGACTGCTATGCAAAGCGTACGGATCGGATTAACGAGTAAATTTCCCTCTTTGAAAGTGGTGGCACAGAGTTCCCCACATAGTAGGGATACGATAGTAAAACACGACGTACGGATAGGTTTAAATAAAGTAGTGGTAAGCAAAAACCTGACAAAGATATTGTCAAAGAAACAAAGCATAAATTTCAAATATCTTTTTTTTATAGAATTGAAAAGTAATATATAAAAGAGGTTGTCACACAGTGTTAGAACATTACAAAAAAAGCCATTCCAATTCACAAAGCCAAGGGAAAGAAGAAGAACACAGATCTTCTCATCACAAATTAAGAAAGCACATTAGGCCTACTTTGGTAGAGGTCAGAGTTCACAGTGATATGCCCCTCAAGCAAGCATTACAATCATTGAGGTGACAATATTAATCATTTCATAAATTTTCCTTGTGACAATTACTCTATTCAGTGTACTCTTTACAGAAACAACGAGGAAAGATGTTACACATTATGTATTTAGTTACGAGCATTTTGGTAAAAATTAATTTGGACCCTCCATTCTGAAACAAACTTATCAATAACTTTTAGAAGTCAGCACACCTACTGCCTGGATCTAGACGCGTCATTACTGATTTTTCTTGTTTTCCTCATTCAGTATTAATATATTATCAGCTTGCATGTACAACAAATTATTTATCGCAATCTCAGACTATCAAATCTTCATTCTTTTCTGAACATGGCAGAGGGTAATAAAGCCTGTTGCTTGAAACCTGTCTTGTTCATGACATATACGTCGGGGGCCTAGTGGTTAGGCTACCGGACTCGTAATCATAAGGTTGTGGGGTCGGGGGGTCAAGCCGCGGACCCGACTTGTGTCCTTAGGAAAGGCACTTTACACAAAGGTTCTTCACTTCACCCAGGTGGGAATGGGTACCCGCCCAAAGACAACGAAAAATCTTGTCAGTATGTTAGTGTTTTAGAACCCATAAATGGCTGCTTGCACTGTATGCTTCCCATGAAGTTGAGGTAGTTTCAGAATGCTCTCAGGTCTGCTGGGGTAATAGTGTAGATTGTGAAACGCATAGAGCTTGTTGTTGAGCGGGATTTACGCTATACAAATGCTATCTATTATTATTATTATTACATTTTCAACTAAATTTTCTGCAACAAAACAAGGAACAGGCCTACATCTTGTTAGAGTTAAGTCTACTCCGTATAGTGGAAATTCCATTTAGTAAATAAATGTGTCACCGTGCGTTGGAATCAGGCGCTTGTCAAATTTTGGGCATGTGGAGTTATTGATATCATCTTAACGCTTTTTCAATTTTCTTACATTCAATGAAAAAAATTACTCATCTATCATAAATAAAAGTTGAGATATTTGCAACTGAAGGAGGTGGGGGTCGCCCTGTTCCAGAAGTAAAATTAGCAAGAAAATGGCCGCCAAAGTTTGGTAACTTCAATAGCTTGAGAGTCCTATGCAACAGAAAAATTTTAGGCCTATAGTGTGTGCCTTTAATCAATGATTTTCAGTAAAATTCATACTGAAATATTTTGATATGAACATAGGTGTTGAGCCAAAAAACAAAGATTCAATAAAAATTACCAAACTGGCGGGAAAATGCCGGTTTCTTCGATTTCCTTATTTCGACGAGCGTCTGATTCATCACAAATTGTTTTGGAGGAAAATTCCACTTAGTGTATTCTGTGTAGTAACATTTTCATTCAGTCTGTTCTGTTGACAGACAATTCCATTTTGTCCATTCTTTGAGGTCAAAATACATTCCTACCCTTATCACCGATGAAAACCTAAAAACCAAATAAACCAGTCTTTGTTAAATATGGAAGTTGATCACACATTACAACAATCATCTGTCAAAACAAAAGGTGTTCACTATTCATAAACACAAAATGCTACAGAAATAGACATTCATTGTAAAAATATACAAGTTTTATGTAAAGAAATGCCATACAACTATGTGAAAAATAAAATGACAGCCAGAAGGGTCAACAATTCTTCTCGAAAAAAGTAAGATGTAGAATCAAAAGAAGATGCAGCGCAGCCCAAATGTTCATCAGTTTTATTCTGACATAAAGCCTTACCCAAGGATTATTATGAAGTCAGAATTGAACATTTTAAAATAAATAAATAAAAGAAGAATTCCAAGACGTATTACAAGGCAGCATTCGGTACGAAAACAAATTACATTACACGGACCAATGCGTAGGAAGAAGGGATACTTTCAGACACCCCTTTTTTTCTTCCCCCCCCTCTCTCTCTCTCTCTC